ACACACACCTCTACTCATATTGCCAGATGCGAGATACAGGGCCATGTCAAAGTGACAACTGCGGGCATGCCCATGACACTCACACTCTGGAGCAGAACAAGGAAGGTGGATATGGAGTGGGGTGGCCTGGCAGGCATGGGGGTGCCCAGGTTCTTCTGCCTGCCGTGGGTGGTCCTGGTGCAGGTCCTGGCAGTGCTCACGGTGGGTACCAGCTCTATGGTGGCAGCAGACACAAAGGCCACGCACCTGGCAGGGAGGAGGGCAAGACGAGTCTGCCCCAGTCCCCCAGCTTGCCCTCCCACCAGCCACAGGATGCCCCTCCTACGGTACTCACCATGCCTTCCACGTTGGGTGGGACCCTCGGTGCAGGCCTGTACTCAGAGGCATGGCCATGGCACAGGCAGCTGCCTTGGACCACAAGCTCAGAGGGCATAGTAGTAGAAGGGGTGTCCCTTGAGGCCCCCCTGGGGCCTGTCACCCAGTGTGTGCGGTTTGAAGTTTGCACGGAGGTTAGTCACATGCAGGAGCTCTGGAAACAGATCGAGAGCCCTCAGGTACACTGGTTGTTACCCCTCTATGGCTGAGATAGAGGAGGAATTGGGGGGGGCAGTCTCTCCCCTCTCTACATCATTGCAGCCACCTCCTCCAGCACCCATGCTGTAGGACTCTCCCATCCCTGCTCCCCCAATTATACCATTTTAGGATGACCACAGCCTAATGGTGATTATCCCACCTCTGCACTGCTCCAGACCTGATATCACTCCTGAGCTGAGACCTGCATATCCCACTGCTTCCTGGACACCCCTTTCTGGTATCTCTAGATATTGGAAACCTGCTTCCCCAAGGCAGTAAAGGATTCCAGTCCCCAGCCCATCATTAGAAATCAGCTTATTATCCAGCCAAACCACATAAGGCATGTTTATTGACTCCCTTTCTCATTTTTATGTCAGCTCCAAGACAGATAACTTGTCTATCTGCTCACCACTAAGCAAGGCCCAGAAGATGCCTGGCACACAGTGGGGCTCCATGGTCACTTGTTAAATGTACACGTGGATGGAAAGATGGGGCCATGGCTCCTCTTGCTCCTCACAGCTTAAGTCAGCTACCAAGCCGAGGCCACCTCCTGTATCTCTTTGCCAGAGCTCCCCTTTCTCTTGATCAGAGGAACACACAACAGCTGCTCTAGGCCCTAGTAAGGCCGGGGGGGGGGGGGGGGGGG